CTTTTGAAAACTGACTGTTGGCAGTAAGCTGAACAAATTCTGACTTATACCTCTTTGCTTGAGCCATGCCACCAGCCCTTTTTATGTTGGCTATTTTTGATATAGGATCTAGCTTTATAGCCAGGGTTGTCCTATTTGTGCTTCTCTGCATATATGAGATGACAGAAATGAACCACAGAGCCCAGTTATTAGTTGAGATGGAGGTTCATGAACTTTTTGCTCTGGCTGGCCTCAAATAGAAATTCTTCTGATTTCTCCCTCTGAGTGCTAGGATTATAGGTTTAAGCCAATGTGCCTGCCCAATTCCTAATATTCTTCACTATTATTCATGTGAATTCATGGATTCTTTTATCAATTTTCTATGGTCTCTAGCATTTGTTGGTCAGAAGACTCCTAGATTCTTCTATCCAACATAGATAATCTAGGTAGGACATGTAGATATAGTAAGGGAGAACATAAACTTTATTATAGGTGAGGGTTACAATACGGTTCCTGCCAGATAGGGCAGAAGATGGGGGCCAGAGAAAGAAGAGTGAGCAAGACAGTCTTTTTGTTTTATTTATAAGCTTAATGGGGAAAAAAAAAATTGGGCAATTCCTGTGGGTCAGTCTAGGGTGATTGACAGATTTGTGCATGCACTTAAGTTAGCTATTAGATATTTTAATTACATGCATGGGGTGTAACCAATATTGTGTTTTAAGCAAGGAATTTGCAATTGAAAAGAACTTAGACACAAGGAAAGATCACATGGAGCCTAAATCCCAAAGATTTCCTCTCTCTCTGCTTTCAAACCTGCCTCAACGTCCCCCTGAGACAATATCAAGGAAAAATTTGAGGTGGGGGGGTGGTTTCTGAGGGAAGGAGGTCCATTTACTGTATTTGCTTCAGAGCTGGCAAGATGGAGATTGCCCCCACTATGGTTTTCCTTTCTATTGTGTAAGTCTTTGTCTCAGCAATCAAAGTCATTCACGGGGGTGTCATCCATCTGTAGAGATTGATAGATCTGTTGTGTCACAATCTGGATCCTAAAGGCTTTCATCCTGGAAGAGATGAATTTGGTTAAGGAGTTTAGCAGGCATGACTTGAACATGGACACTGATAGAAGCATCAGAAGGGGCCTTGCCAGATGAAGTAGCCAAGATGTCCAATTCCAAGTTTAAACTATTTTTTCCCCAGGATTCAAGTAATTGCCATCAGATTTAGAAAACTCTTTCAGGTGTCAGAAGATCTAATTTTCTGAGAACTGACAATCATCTATTCCATTTTAAAGCATATCCATGGGTTTTGTTAGTTTTTAGGCTCTCAATAAAGTCCTTAGATAATTTCAGGTAATATGGGAAATAGGTGGCTTCTCCTACAGGTGCCTGCACCTGTCGCTATCCCAAACTCAATTAGAAGGGACATAAATTGCATGGTCTTTTTTGTCTGGAATGCCACTGCAGTGGGACAGTTAAGGACGGATAGTTTGGAGCAATATCTACATTAGGGGCTGGGTGTATAAGGGAGGCATGTGTCAGTCCAATTATAGGGTAAACATCAATAGAATTCAATCCCACACAGAAAGAAACTGCCCAGAATCTCTTACCAGAAATTAAACACCATTGCAAAGAGAATACAAGAAGGGGTTAAACAACTCCATGAGTGTGAACCATTAAAAGGACATATCTAGAGCCAGTAGAAATAGTAGTATTCCCTTTGATTAAGCAGAAGGCCCTGGCCAAAGACATGAGTTTATCTTTTGCCAGAAGCTCAGAAGGATTTAATACTAGATAGTATATGCATAAGAACCCCTTCTTTGAGCCTCTTGGCTTTGTTTAGTTTTAGAGGTCTGGCATAAGTGAGTCCATTTGGATATGGAGGGTGTCCCCTTTATTTTTGTATAGTCTTTTAAAACTGTAGTTCTTTTACACTATTTCTCTGAATAGTTGCTTCTGAAAATTTTGGCCATTGGACATTTTGGTCCCTTTGCCAGCATTAATTTTCTTCCAAATGGTCTGATCTGGTCCCATGTTGGAAGGGAAGTAGCATAATAGACTGGGCACGTGCAATTCAGTGCCAGTAAGACTGTTTTGGCCAAATATAAGCAACAAAGCCTTAGAAGAAATGGCTTTAACCTGGTATCCATTTTTAAGTCCAATTTCTTTCTATCTTTTAGATGATATCCTGGCATTTAAAAAATTCCATAAAATATCAGCAGGTAACAGTTATAAAATTTTATAAGGAAAGTACAAAACAATGCCAATACTTAGAATGTCTGACTTGGTTGACAGATGAGTACTTGTCAGAGTTATTTTCCATGAGCTTATCTGCAAATGCTTCAGAAAGATCAGATCTGTAATGACAAATTGAAAATAACCATGGTTAAAATTTTAACAGTTTAGCAACTGAAAGAACAGTCTATTTTTATTGTATACATCATAATTAAGCCTTTTTTTAAAAAAATAAGATTAAGAGTACATGAAAGCAATAGTAGGAATCTTTCTGTATAGCTATCCTTAACTCAACTAACAAAAATGCTTTGTCTTTCTTATTATATATATGTCATTTCTTCAACAAAATCAGTGATAAGAGCAGAACGAGACCTGCCTGAAACTGAGGAGGGGAGGCAGGGAATATTAAGGGAGGGGAGCAGGGTGGAGAAATGACCCAAACAATGTATGCACATGTGAATAAATAAAAAAAAATAAGATTAGGAGTACATGCACAAATTTGGAAGACATCAGCTTGGTACTTTTTTTTTTTTTACAACTTTGCATTTCAGAAGGCTTGTACACTTGAAGAACACAAATACTTCTAACAAAGTATGTTGTAGAAGGAGTCCATAGAGTTAGCATTACAAAGGAGTGCATAACAGTTAGCATTAGAATTTGAACCTTGAATTTTTGGTTAGGTAAGGTAACAGATGGAGAAAACTTACAAAAATCAAATTTTTGTCAGTCAAAAAAAGGGTGGGGGCAGTATCAGTAATTTGAAATAGACTCTCTAATGCTCAATTGCATCATTAGATATATATGTGTGTGTGTATGCACATATATTATATATATATAAGTTTATCTAGTCAAACAAATAGATGTAATCCATGTTCCATATAGCAGAACTGTCTAAATGGCAGGCCTCTTAGCACTGATCATAAATAGCAGAAATGTCAAAGGTCCTATTGCATCTTAGATAAAAGAAACCATTAGCTATATGTTTTACATGCACTAAACTTATATACTTTTAACTCTATAAATTTTTGCATAATATTTAGATAGTGTAAGTGTATAAGTCCACCTAATTTTAATCACAGACACATATAAAGTATATTAGAACCACTTAAAAAAATTGTTTAACCACAGCTGTGAAGGGATTGTTTTGGATTTTTGTTGTTTTGTTTTTTGATTCCCCAGTTGATACTGGGGCCAGGCTACATTACAACAAAAGTCAAGGCATTTCTCTTTGGGGCAGATTTTTCTCATAAGACAGGAAGAGACAAAGGATGAGGGAGCTCCCTTAGAGGTATGGTAATTCCAGAGAGCTTTAGGGCATCCCATTTGGATCAGTGCAAGGGATTGGAGTCTTCTCCAATTTAACCCCCAACTCTGGTCAGACGCCTCTGGCCTTTGTTCAGTTAATGAGTCCTTTCCTTTTTGATTTCTTTCAAAGGTTATGTCTTAACCCTGCAGGAAGGCTTCTGGGGTGAAACACTGGTTCCATGTGCTAACCCCACTATTATCCTGGTGAAAGAAAAGGTCAGAGAAATATGCCAAATGGCCAAAGCAATCTAAGATGAAATTAGGCCTTTCTCTACTTTCGTCAAAAAAGAAGATTTAGGAATTGCTTTAAGGTCTAGTCTTGTGAACCCAAATGGAATCCGCAGCTTTGAAAATTTCCAACCCAAAGTAACTGTGTAAGTTTGGGAAAGAGTGTCACAAGGTCATAAGGAAATAGTCAAAAGGGTATGTATGTGGCAGGGAAGTGAGGCCTCAAAGGCCCAAGAGATTATAGCCTTTGCTTTGTCCTGGTTTCACTGTTAACTAGTCTCTCATGTCCACCATGGGAAGCAGTGGGTTCCAGGGGCTTCTAAGAGGTAGGATGACCTGTTTGGCCCACACTGGACAGACACACACCAGGGCATCCTGCAGGCCATCAAAAAAAATTTGATTTTGCCAGTCTGTAGATCATTCCAGATATGTTTATACTTTCTAAACCAACAATAAATAGTCTGAATGATTCTGTGATTGGTAGCCATCACAAAATATAAACATAAATGGAATAAAGTAATAGATTTCCAATAGTTTTACTAAGTCTCATTTTGTCTTTGTACAATCAGTGAATTATTTCAAATGACCAAATTGCTAGTTAGTAGATAGGGCAAAACAATGTGGATATGTCATTCCAGGAACTGTACTGATTTAACAAAAGACATTGGAAAAATAAAAAAGGCAGTTTTAGCTCAGAAGTTGTCAAATACGTGTTTGGACTTTCTTCAAACACTATATTCAACTCCTCTTGACCCAGTTTCTTATTAATTGTTTTTAAGTGTCATTATTTTTCAGATTAACACTAGAGCCATACTTCTGCTTTGTTCCATTTTCATTTCAATATGACATTATAGGTTGATGTTATTCTAATACTGTATCTTACTAAGAATTATATATCAGTTGATATATCAGTTATTATATTTTTGTTCTGTTTCTTATTGAAGGTCTACTTTTTCATATAGTCATATTACCAAATTTCATCTTCCCCTCAGTAATTATATTGCTTGCTTTTCATTTTAAAGTATTCTACTTCAACATACAGCAATACTATAAAGCACTGTTGACTTTCTTAACATGTATGTGATATCCATTATGTAATACATAAGATGTTATATGGGAAAATTATGCATGAAATTTGAAACAGAATTTTAGTTCAAATATTTGAAATGTGAGATTATATAAAGGCCTTGTTTATATACAAACACATATGATGAAGAAAATGATTGCTTCCAAAATTAACTATTAGTAACTCAGTGCCTCTTTTCTACAGGAGAGAATGTTTAAATTTCATCAAACAAAATATACTTTTCAAATACTCGATAAAATGAGATGCTTGCGAAAACGTTCCACAGTGTCATTCTTGGGAGTTCTTGTCATTTTCCTCCTATTTATGAACTTGTACATTGAAGATAGCTATGTTCTGGTAAGTCTTGCAGGATGATTATTTTTACTCAAAATAAAGCCTGCATTATAGGCTGTTGGAATAGTCTTAGTTTGAGAAAACCTTAGATTTGGAAAAATTATTTCATGTATATTTGCTATCTTTAGTTTTGCTTGAATTTGTTTTGTTATTGTTTTCTTGAGACAGAGTCTCACTCTGGGCTCAAATTGAGAAATTCTTATGCTTCAGCCTCCTGAATGTCAGGAACACAGGTGTGTACCACCTCACCTTGTTTTGTTTATAAATTATTTTTGTTTTAATCATGCATTGTCAACATTGTACTCATTTTAATTTATCCTCTAATATTTTCTGTGGCACTATATATATTGTGGTTTACCTACATATATCTAATTACAAATAAGTTAACTATCCTCATTGTGCTGAATTAATATATGAAGCCTTTAAGATTTCAGGGCTTTAATTCAAAATGTGTAGAATAAATACAATTTACTTAAGAAGTGTTACTCTTTACTTTCTCTACTTTCCTGTGTTATTGAAAATTTAAAAATTTCATCATCTAACTAAAAATACTATTTCATTGTGTCACTTTGTGTAAGCAATAAATAGCCCTAAATATCTCCTATGCTCCTATGTGATAAATTATATTCACTGAAAAGTCTTCAAGAGGTAGATAATGACATGGAAACTATTCAGTTGTTGAAAACCATTAATAAAAATAGTAGATAACGATATAAGCATTTTATGTGAAATATGAAAACATACAAAAGGAATTTTTTGGCTAATTAAGAAAAATTAGTTTATTCATTACATTTTTTCCTATTGTTATAAACTCTGCATCCTTTTATACTTGGTGATATTGATATTAATGTATTATTGTTTATTCACTGTTCCTATCTGAATTGAGCCTAATATATCTGCTCTAACCTCTGTGCCACTACTATTATTCATGTATCTCAAAAAATCAAAATCTTTGTCCTCATAGGGACTAAAGCATGCTTCCCACAAGCAAGATCATACAAGTTTCAGTGGTATTATAGCAAAAGATATTATCACAATAATCACAAAGAACATTTCCCAATGAAATATTTACTTTACTAAGCATCATTTATTACCTCTCTACAGTTTACCAGGTAGTATGCTATATCTTATCAGTCAACCACATGATCTTAGGTGGTACAAATTCTCCTAGGAGTGTTTCTATAAAGCATCTTGCACCTTTTGCTTTGTTCTTTGATGGTGAACTTATTCTAGAATCCCAGATCTTGACTTCACGTAGGCTTTTTATCTCTAAGCAGAGAACCTGATTTTGTAGATCCTTGATTTTACCATGTACAATCAGTTCACAATAGTTGAAATTAACACAGATTGACTGATATGATTTAGGCAAACCTCAAACTATAAGAACTTACTAATGACGTACTTTGGGTTTATTTTTGTTAGAATATAATGGTTGTACAAGGGAGTTACATTGTGGCATTTACATATTTGCTTATAAGATATGTTAATGAGATTCACCCCTCCATCATTCTCCTCCTTGTCCTTCCCTCCTTCTTAGAAAATAATTTTTTAGCTTAACCTTTAGGTTCATGATACGTAAGGATTACAGAATAAGATCTATGTGATCTGGCTGTTTTGTTCATGATAGAATTTAATAGACTAAATTAACTAGAGCTTTTCATAATGATTTAATCATGCAATATTCTTTTATTTCTTGAATATCTACTGATTGAAGTAAATCAAATCTTATAAATGAAGGTAATACTATTGGTTGGATACTTGTTGTAATCAATGACCTGCTACATTTATGACAAAGTTTCAAGCGCTATTTTAATCTTTCATCATTAACAGGCCCCAAAACTGTTACAATTGTATGTAGCAAACATCCTATGTCTTTTTGTAACAGAACTTCTTTAAAGCCAATGTGAAATGTGTACAAATTTATACAGTACCTGTCAATAAGAAAATCAAATGCTATTGCCCTGGTTTGTGAATATTTTCAGTTCTAAACATTGATCCTAGCCACATAATATAAAAAAGTATTATTTCAGGATGGAGCTCTTCTATTAAGTACTTTGTTACTAAAATTTATCAGACTATATTTGGCACACATCTAGTCAAAATTTTAAATCAATCCAGATTTGAAGAAAATATTGCTTCTTGGGTTTAAAACTTTTTTATTTAAAAATTATTATATGAAGTTGGAAAAATTGAGTTAATGTGATTATTAAATACCAACACCCCACCCTTATTATAAATTCAATGACAATATCTTTATTTCAGTTTTCATTATTTACTAGATAGCTTCTAACTGAAGTTTGTTGTCAGCTGAATTTTAATATATATAATATGTATACATTTACTTGAAAAATTCTTTCAATTATTAATGTTAGGTTTTATTAGAAATATTCTTCTAAAATTTATATCTATGGAAATGAATTACTAGATCATAAAGCAGTTTCTGGTTAACACTTCTTGCTTTTACCCTTTATCCATGTTTATTATATTTTTTGTTAAGATTAACTATCTTGAATTTACATCTTGCCTCTGTAATGCCACAATGCATTCAGTTCTCTAAGCATCTCCCCCTGTATTACTGGGAAATGCTACTTCCAATCCAGAGAAATCAGATAAAAAGAAGTAGCAATGTCTCTGGAGTTACTTAGCATATCTTATTCTGCTTTCTCTGCTAGACAATCCATTTGTACCTGAAATCCTAGGCATATTAACAGTCTAGTGTATTTGCTCATTTATTAATGAGATATGTGAACTTTGGTGGGAGGGGAAGCTGAGTTCAGTAGAAGAGACAAGCACTCTTATAAGGCAAACTAAGTGGAAGACACATTGCATGCCTCACTGAGAAGATAATCAACTTAGCCTCTCATCTGTGAGCATCTTCAAAGTAGCTACATGGTACATATTTCATCTGTAGCTAGTCCATTGAATTGAATTTTCATACAGAAAATGATTGTCATAAAACTTTGTTTTATTACTGAGAAACACACCACAATATAGTAGCTATGGAAAGAAGGTATCCAGAAGAGTCTGACATTTCATTTAGATGCCTCTGAAAGAAAGCAGTCAGGCTGAGTCAGGTGAAAGTTACCCTATTTGCTTATGTAAAGATGTTCAAAGAAGCTTGTCTTCAAGAATTTAAGTACTTTCATATGGGTTCTATATCAGTTTATATTTTGATATGCCCTGTAATCAGGATGAATGTATTCCATTTTATCGCAAGAAAAAGTCTAGATGTTTTTATGTGTCCAGGAAAGAATTCATATAGAGATATTCAACATCCTATCTCTTCTTTAAAATGTAAATTCACATAAGAAAGAGTCTTAAAGTGACTACTGTGAATTTTATAGAAATTCCTTCTAGACCTATTGATTGTGTGTACTGTTATATTACTGCTAAAGCACTTGATGATAAATTGAGTCCCTAGTTACTTTCTGGCAATCTTAAGCCATTTATCTTAAAAGTTAAATGATTTTTAAAGTTTTATTGAGAGAAGAGGAAAATACTTATTTTTAAAGAACCTGAAATATTTAGAACTCAGTGAATATTCAATTGTTATATTTATAAGAAATTTAGCATCTAAAGTTTAATTTCAGATAGTTTGAGAGTTTATAGCTTTTTCTGATGGCAAATACATTAGATACCTTGTCTTGTAAAAAACTAAAATTTAAACTAAAGTATTTTCTTTATCCAAATTATGAAAGCTATATAAAATATAGAAATAGATGAAACATGAACCAATATAGGTTTACAAGCATAATTGACATATGGAAAAGATATTCAGAAGAAATCTTAATTTAATAAGATCCATATTCAGAAATCTTACTTGATGGGCACTGGTGGCTTTTGCATATAATCCTAGATACTCAGGAGGCAGAGATCAGGAGGATCGTGTTTTGAAGCCAACCTGGGAGAAAAGTTCATGAAACCCTGTCTCAAAAAAACCTCATCACAAAAAATGGCTGGTGGAGTGGCTCAAGGTGTAGGCCCTGAGTTCAAACCCCAGTACCACCAAAATAATAATAATAATAAATAAATAAAAATAAAAATCTTACAAGTCTCTGTCCATCCTCCATTAATTTTAATTTTATTCTAAGAAAATTCTTCTCTGGCCATATATTTAAGTTTGAATTGATCCAACTTTTTTGCATTTGAGTCAGATACAAAATATTGAATTTCCAGGTGAGGTAAAAGTTATATTTCAGTCTTGTCCAACCTTTTAGAACAGAGGTTTAATTAAATTTTTCTTGACCATCGGTAAATAATGTTAGACCTAAGTTCTTTAGTGTAGTTACTTTTTGGTATCTTAATGATTTGCACATGTCTGGTCTTATGCTGAGTAGTAGAAATAGATTCACAGAACACATGTGTGAGCACACACACACACACACAAGCAAACACATTATAAGAAAGAATAGGGCAAATTTTAAACACTTAACCTTGACTTAGTACAAACAAATGCTAATTGAGATTATTGAAAGTCATTTAAAAGATTGCTATGCCAAAAAGAAAATTCTCAACAGCTTTCAATTATATGGCCATATAAGTAATTTATTAAAACTTCTTAATAAATTATCCAAAAAGCTGACTATCGTGCCCACTGCTGCAAATTCCTTTTCATTTCTAAGGTTTGGCAATCATAGAAAAATAATGTATGGTCGGTCTTTAATTTGGCAGAGTTTGTGGAAGAGTAAACAGATTAGTATGAGTCAATTTTGAGAAATTTGGTGGCAAATAGCCACAGATAAAACTCTAAAATAGATTACCATCAAAACTTTAAATTCATAATTTTTAAAATTCTTAGTATAAAAATGTGAATTTTAAATGAAGGCAATGGAAACTTTAATGTACAGATTTGTTTTTTAAGAGAATTCCACTAGTAGTATGAATTATAAGAAAGGAAATGAATTTCAGTGTAAAGATTGGAATAGAGGAGAGAGCCTAGAGCAGACTACAGGCAGGAAATCATTTGGATGACCTTCAGCTTATCATGCTAGCAATTGAGATTTCTATAATATATTTATTTGCTTCTTCTCTTTCTTGGCATTTAGGAAGGTGACAAGCAACTAATAAGGGAAACATCCACACATCAACTGAATTCAGAACGCTATGTTCATACTTTTAAGGATTTATCTAATTTCTCAGGAGCCATAAATGTCACCTATCGCTACCTAGCTGCTACACCTTTGCAAAGGAAACGTAAGTATCCTTTAACTTTTAAATGAAGAATGCTTAAAATATTTTCTCTGAAAATAGTGATAATTAGCTTTACTCCATGTAGCAATGAAACTTTAAGAAATTTACTAATATAATTCATACTTTGAGAAGAACTTCAATGCTTCTTCACATTTGCAAATAATCTCTGATCAGGAGAATTAAATAAAATACTGAATTTTATTAAGAAACTTTTAGTAATTTGCCACGTGACTGTATAGGAGATAAGGGAAAAAATCAATTTAGTTTAAAATTTAGAGGTTAACTTTTAAAAATAACTATTTCTATATCCTTTCAATCAAAGATTTTGTTTTATGGCTTGCTGCCAATTTTGAATTAGTGATGGCTACCATGTTATTTTTCTAGGACTTTTATAACAAGTTACTACAAACTGCATAGCTGTAAAAACAAACATTTTTTACTCTCATGGTTCTGGTGTCCAGAATCTGAGATCAAGGTACTGGCAGGTCCACCTACCTCTGATCATTTTAAGGGAGAATCTGTCAACTAACAGGCAAGTTGAGGCACACCAAGTATGAGAACAAAGAATTTGTATTTAAGCCACTATGAGGATGAGAAATAGGAGGGACAATTTTTAGCTATCTAAAATTAGGTTCCCTCAGATAGTGTCAAGAGGTGTGGAAGTTTAAAGATAAGACAGAACAAAGAAGAAATTGCAGCAAATAGGTTGTTGCAATTGTATTGGTTGGCAAGAACATCACAGGACACTGTTTGGTAGTAAATCACCTATCTTACACATTCCAGATAGGAACTGAAGTAAAAAGGAATAGGTTTTTTTTTTTAAATTTTTTAGAGCTATTTGTGTTCATTATGGTGCCACCAAGTCTACAGAAATATGCCATGCTGTGTCAGAATGACCTAAGTGACTGCAATCTCATGCCTCATGCTTCACTGGCATAAAGAATTTTGTGACATGGTTTGCAAGTGTGTGTGTGTGTAACATTTTAAATTCTTTCTCAAATTCTTCTTGCTTCTTCCATCTTTGGTGGCCCACGTCATTCTTCATCTTGTGGCAGTGTAAATTCAATTCCTGTCTTTGTGTCCAATGTCCTTCTTCTCTTTGTTTCTCCATGTTCTTTCCTCTTCTTACAAGAACATTTATTATATTCTAAATCCAGGATTATGTCATCTTAAGTTTTTTAATTAATTATATCTCCAAATACCTTATTTTCTGATAAGACAATCTTCTTAGGTTCTAGATAAACTTGCATATTAGGAAGAAACTGTTGGAGTCACAGTGATTGGTTTGGGAAAAATGATTGGATCAGATCTATAGTATACTGCATTTCAGATTGTAAGACACCACAGCTTATAAGAAGTACAATTATCTGATTATTATATCACCAAGAAAGTATAACCATTACTAATTTTATTTTTAAAATTAAAAAGATCATCAATTATAATATGCAGTCTGACTTTTTATGTTTCAGTGTAATAAATATGAATCTTAGAATCAATAAAATATGATGATATCATGAAGTTTTTATTAGATCATATGGGAGACCATAAAAATTGAGCTTACCTTTAAGGAGTGTTTGTGCAAAGGAGTTTATAATCACCAGGTTGAGGGAACTGAGAAGTAAATTTAGCCTCCTTTAGGTTCCTGCTCCCCTTCAGATGTCTAGTGTTCCTAGGCTTCCTTCAAATTTGATAAGGTTGCCACTACTTTCTCATCTTCAGGTGTTAAAAATTTTAAATTGTCCATTCCCCTTTTCCATTCTATAATTACTAATCTCGATTGACACAAATGCCCCTACCTTTTCTTAAAGAGGAATAGAACACAGAGGGTACAAACAGGACTGTTTGAATCTTGGTACCACAGCACTTTGCACAAGGTACCTCATCACAGTGGGACTTGCTGTTCTCATCTGTAAAGCAGTGTGATGGTAGGGCTGACCTATTCCCCAAAGATTGTTTGTGAACATTCAGGATGCTTATGACAGATAAAATTGCATGGACTCCTACCATTTATGTAGAAAGTCTTTCACGAGACTTGCTATTATTAGCTTGCAGACTAAATTTAATAATTGTACCAGATAACATATTCATGTTTCAGTAAAAATTAGGGTTATAACCCAGGTTTTTGAACAATATGTATAAATCTTAATTTCTCTGACAGATTATTAAGAAAGATTTTTTCGAAGGGCATTTTCAGTATTATAAAAATCATATTATTTTGGCGTTGGTACTAAATCATGATCTTTGTGAATATAAACATTTCCTCATTTTCCAAATGGCAGTTCAGAAATTATATTTAGTTCTCAGTCATGTGAGAATGAGATCTTTAAAAGGTGAAAATAATTCAATAGAAAGACATATAATACTTCTCAGATGTGAATGTCTTTCCTCAATCATTTTACTCCCTAAAAATACCATGTTACTACTTTTAAATTTCAAATGTCTAAATAAAATTTCTCCAGGCAAAATTACTATAAAATGTCTTTCAAAACAACGAAAATATAATTGTATGTCTTGAAATAATGTACCATACAGTTGAACAAATATGTTTTTCAAATATTTCTTATGATATTGTTTATTTTCTAATTAACATATCAGGTAAATTTCATAATAAAATTATGAAGTCTACTTATGAATTATTCTACTACAAAATGACATCAAAGAAAATTTAAAATATATGATGGGTGTTCTATGGGAAATTTAAAGAGGAGTTAAGAAATTAGATCCTCTTATTGGAAGTTGTCACCATTTGAAACAAATTTTTCATCCTTAACTGGGAATTTGCTTCCACTTTTGTAGGTAGTTTTAAATAACTTGTATGTTATCTAAACATCTATGTCTTTTCTCTAATGGGCCTGTAGAGATAATGAAGCTGCAGGACATTTTATTTATTTTTAATTTTTATTTTATTCATATGTGCATACAATGTTTGGGTCATTTTTTCCCCTTCCCCCACCCTCTTCTTCTCCCCCCCCCATCCCCTTGCTACCCGGCAGAAACTGTTTTGCCCTTATCTCTAATTTTGTTGAAGAGAGAGTATAAGCAATAATAAGAAGGACCTAGGGTTTTTGCTAGTTGAGATAAGGATAGCTATACAGGGAGATGACTTGCATTGATTTCCTGTGCATGTGTGTTACCTTCTAAGTTAATTCTTCTTGAGCTAACCTTGTCTCTAGTTTCTGGTCCCCTTCTCCTGTTGGCCTCAGTTGCTTTAAAGTATCTGCTTTGCTTTCTCGCTGCAGGACATTTTAAACCACATTTTTAAATTTAGTATACAAATGTTCACAGCAATAAGACACATATATCATTGTGTTTTAGATATAATTTAATTTCCATAGAAAACATTAATTATGTATAAACTGCTAAAACCTTTATATTTTGTATTTCAAACTTGTTTTGCATTTAATGTGTCTTCCTTCTAATTTCTGCTTAGGGTATCTTACAATTGGACTGTCATCAGTAAAACGAAAAAAAGGAAGCTATTTACTTGAGACAATCAAGTCAATTTTTGAGCAATCCAGCTATGAAGAACTGAAGGAAATATCAGTGGTGGTTCATCTAGCAGACTTTAATTCATCCTGGCGTGATGTCATGGTCCAGGATATTACACAGAAATTTGCCCATCATATTATTGCAGGAAGATTAATGGTTATACATGCTCCAGAGGAATACTACCCAGTTCTAGATGGACTTAAAAGAAACTACAATGATCCAGAAGACAGAGTTAGATTTCGTTCCAAGCAAAATGTAGACTATGCTTTTCTGCTTAATTTTTGTGCCAATACCTCAGACTATTATGTAATGCTCGAAGATGATGTGCGATGTTCCAAAAATTTCTTAACTGCCATCAAAAAAGTCATTGCATCTCTAGAAGGAACTTACTGGGTAACTCTTGAGTTCTCTAAGCTCGGTTACATTGGTAAACTCTATCATTCTCATGATCTCCCACGTTTGGCACATTTTTTATTAATGTTTTATCAAGAAATGCCTTGTGACTGGCTATTGACTCATTTCCGGGGTCTACTGGCTCAGAAAAATGTGATCCGATTTAAACCATCTCTCTTTCAGCACATGGGTTATTATTCATCATATAAAGGAACTGAGAATAAGCTGAAGGATGATGATTTTGAAGAGGAGTCATTTGACATCCCTGACAATCCTCCTGCTAGTCTATACACCAATATGAATGTGTTTGAGAATTATGAAGCAAGCAAGGCTTATAGTAGTGTTGATGAGTACTTTTGGGGAAAACCACCTTCAATAGGAGATACTTTTATTATTGTATTTGAAAATCCCATCGTAGTAAAAAAAATTAAAGTGAATACTGGAACGGAAGATCGACAAAATGACATTTTGCATCATGGAGCCCTAGATGTTGGGAAAAATATGCTTAGCAAACAAATAAGACAATGTGATACTTACTTAAGACTAGGGGAATTCAAAAATGGAAACTTTGAAATCTCAGATGTGAACCAAAAAATTCCATTTGATATACGTTGTATACGGATTTGTGTTACCAAAACACAAAAGGAATGGCTGATTATTCGAAGTATTAGCATTTGGACTTCTTAGCTAATTAAATCTGTATGCTCAGTTACTGAGGCAGGTCTTTCTGTTTCCTTTTTTGCTATCTTCCTCTTTTGCTAGTTTTGTCTTTGGAAGGGGAAGCAATGGATGTGATCTATTACAAGAGAAGTTAATAATCTTGAGAATTTTTATTTGCAATTGTCAACACATTTTACTCTTAATACACACGTTAATTTTCATTTTTGAAGTTGAATAACATTCCATGGTTAATGCTATTTCATTTATATTTTTAAATGTCTTTAGCTTCATTAGTTTTACTGATTGTCAAACGAGTGACATGAAAGATCAAAAATGAGAAAATTTAGGCTGTTGGATGGTGTTTCTTGAAAAATAATTCCCAACTGTATATACTTACACAAGAATTGATAATTCAAGGTATCATCAGATAGCTTTTTATTAAGCATCTGTGTGAATATGCAGTTGGTTAGAATTATGATCTGGCTTATTTTTATTGTAAACTTAGATTTTCATTGATTTCTGTATGTGTGCAATGAATACCTCCTCACAGAAATGATAACTTCATGACAGAGTTTTTTGTGTAATAGGGCTAAGAAAAAGAAAAAAAAAAGAATTTAAGAATTATCTTTCCTCTGATTATTTATATGAAAAGGAGCATTGTTTGTTGTTTAAAAACATTTAACTGAGCACTTATTGTTAATAAATTTTCTGTGGGAAGAAGTCTTTTTCTACTTTCCCTTTTGCAAACAAAAAAGAGAAGAAACCACTTAAGCTCAATATTTTCAGATTATATTGGGTTCTTGCATTTAATTGAAAAAATAGAGAAAGTTACTTCATTGATACAGACATTTTCATTATATGCAGAAAATTTTTAAAACTGATTTTATATTTTTGGTATTAAAATTTATGTAATTTATTATAATTTACCATATTTGGGGGAAGTAGTTTAAATCACTAACCTATTAGGGAGATAAGTAAGAATCTTAGAAAATAGACTCATTTTTTATACTCCATGCACTATTTGTTAACAAAACCAGAATGAGAGATCTTCTATTCCGATAACCACACAATGCTCTATCCCTTTTATCAAGATGGCTTTTTGCATAATTTATGCTTTCTGTCTGTTTCCTATGTTGGTCTCTGATAATAAGCTTTGCTAACATATTTTGTGGTATATGCACCCAAACAGTAAGCAAACCTGGCTAAATTTTTATTAGTGTCTGGACAGTTCTGTCTCAGCCATTCCACTCAAACAATTCAGGACATTTACTGAATGATAAGTAGTATGATATAGTCCAAAAAAAGACTAGAATGTTTTTTTATTGAATTTATGTCTGAAGACATTACTTTTTCAGAATGTCCTGAGCTTATCTGATTCTGTTTGTTTTTTGATGAGTAGCAAAGATGAATGGATTTGTTATGAAGAGAAATGAGAGTGTTTCACATGTTTTATGGAAAAAATTCAACTAGATATTTATATACATAAATTTATATATATTTATATATCTCTCTCACACACAAATATAGGTATATTACACACAACACACACATACACACACACACACACACAAAACACGTAAGTAAGATGAGAAGGAGAAAACTTTCTGCTCTTCTTCCATCCTGAAACACAATCCTTTAACTCATTGGTATGATTCAGTCAAAAAAGATTAAGTTACTTTTATTTTATTCACTGCCCAAACAATTAATTTAGAAACTCACATGAGAATAGGAATTTGGTTCTTTTCTTTATATAATAGCTGTTCTTTATTTTCTTTGTACTGTAGTGTTAGAAGAATAAGAACCTTTTTTTAAAAAAAGGGAAGTATTAGTATTTTGTGTCACATATAGTAGTGAATTCATAAGAAGTAGAATGCTGTCATGAATCTTATCTTTAGCATATTTGAAGGATACTTGCAAGATACTTGAACATATTCAGTTTTCCTGACCTGTTTTGACCTTTTTTTATTAACCAGCTGGTTGCATAATGCCTTATATGTATCTCAGAACTTACAAATAACATTTTTCTGTTCTCTCAATGATAATGGGTACACAATTGTATTCCAAAGGCATAAGCTAGTAAGACCTAGACAGACTTCATGAAGTGAGCTTTATCTTTACATATTCTGCTGAGAGTTTTTTTCTAATAACCAGTTGCTTTGGCATCTGTCAAGTTCTAGAAAATGCTGCAGGAAAGATTGCTTAGGATAGAAAGGAAGCTGGGTGTTTACTTTAGAATTACAAATGCAAATGTGACCCAAAGAAGCCACATTCCATCTTAGGATCCTTTCATCACTAAAATTGACACTGGATAAGCTGATCAACCACTGAAGGGTACTGTATGCTATCTTTACAAGCTCACACTGAGTTAGCTTTCTGAGGAAAAGACCAACTTTGAAAAAGAAAACTCTATCATGGATAAGGAAAGAAGAATCTGACTAAAGATTCAAAAAGAATATCTGACTAAATATTTTTATATGACTCAATATTTTTACTACATTTAAATATTCTAAATAAGGCTCTCATAATCTTATCTCAGAGACATGGAGCCAAAAATACAATTAGGTTAAATTAGACTCAATTTGTTGTAAAGTATTATGTGATCTTTCTATTTTTGAATAAATATATATAATAAGTATATGTTTTACATATATGTGTATACTGTATATACATGCAGTGTACATACATACATAATTTTCTTAGTTAAAAAATATTCATTGAAAAGGATTGGAATGAGACCTGACTAGTTTGAATCATTTAATGAAAAATTAGATGATGATAGATTTCAAGCACAAAATATATGTACCTTAAATAACATCTCAGGTTTGTATAGAAGTTTAAGCTGAACTAAAAGTTTACTTCTAAAATTCTTCTTAGGAATACCTTTCCAGCATTTATGAACATTCAAGAATAACACCTTGTAAAAGCACAATGAAGTTTGAAAAATACATTTTTGGAAAATATACGTTTTAGCACCAATACCGAGTGTGGTTATAAAAATATACATAAAATGTTAACACAATCACTTTTACATTCTCATTGAAACCCATACATATTCTCATGCAATTTTTAGAGTAGATATTTCCCAGGTATAAAAACCTAATTTGGAAACCAATGTGTCATTTAGATCTATTTTCTTGTATAGCTACGGTTATGAGAGTTACACACTCTATTTCTTACTGGGCCAATATTCCTTGCAAATTTTTATAATACTATTATAGTAATCTGTAGTGTATAACAATGGTCATCAATGGAGCAAACATCCACACATTATATGATGGTAGGAGAAGAACCTACTGGTCTATATGACTCTGTAACATTTTCCTTCAATATGTGCCAATTAATGAGTATCCTCTTTAAAATATGGGACTAAGGATTATCACTGAACACACTACACTCCAACAAATGAAGGAAACGGGACAAGTCTCTCCCTTTTTTTAAACCCTACATATCCATTAATATAGCAAAATATTACTTTTATTCTAATCACTGTACAAATGAGTAATAAAGTCCATATTGCAACTTTATGATATTTATTCCATTATTTTCTGGTAAAAGTGTTTTTATCATTCTATATATTCACAGTTGATGTTTTGCAGTTTTTATGAAAGCATCAATTTCAAGAGATTTTCATCTGGTTTCCATGGACCCGTGATCCCACACTGTCAGGATCTTGATTCTGTCATTTAGTGTTTCAGCTCAGCCACTTCCCAACTTGCAGTTTCCTCAAGTTTAACATGTATGCTTTTAGCTTTGTAGGAGATACAACAGAAGGTTCATATAGAGCTGAGTCTAAAACCCAGTTCTTCAATTGCTCATCTCCTGGTATTAGGAGGGTTATTTAACTTCTTTGATACTCAGTTCTCACTTCTGTGAAGCAGGAAAAGTTTTACCTTGTAGGATCTAAAAGGTAATAATTTTACCTTTCAACCCCCAGTAGAGGTGGAAATAAGATACTGTAATCGAAGAATACAATAAGTATGCTTCCTTTTTTATCCATGTCATCTATATGCCAAAGGATATGGCCCAATAGCTGAGTAGAGTAGTTCATATCCATATAGAATCACTGCTACTCTGGAGACAGAAATCAGGAGGTTCACAGTTTAAAGCTAGTCTGGGCAAAAAGTTTGTGACACTCCAGGTCAACAAATAAGCCAGGCAAGGTGGCTTAGTTACATCAGAGGTATAATTAGTGGGATCATGGTCTGAGGCGGGCCCAGACATAAACATGAGAAATTTATCTCAAAATAATAATAATTAAAGTAAAACAGGACTCAAGTTGTGGCTCAAATTGTAGAGTACTTGTTAAGGTGGAAGACCTTGAGTTCACACCCTGCTACTACAAAAAAAAAAAAAATATATATGATCCTGAAGAACACTACTAGAATCCTATTAAAATTGTTCACCAGCCCACTTTTTGATATTTTGGGCAAACAAGGGTCATGTAGAATTGTGTAAACACTTTCCTAAAATCGGGATATATTCTACTGCTGTCATTCTGATCTACTTCACTGAAGGAGATCAATAATAAAACATTTACCCCTAATTTTTCCCTTAAAAGAATTAACGATCATTCTTTTTCAAGAGATCTAAACATTTTTACTGTAAAAACCAATGAAAAATGGCAGTATTTCTTAATTTCTAAAATTTGGCTCAAAATCTACAATAAGCTCACAAAAGCAGAGTTTTCAGAATCTTTTTACATTTTAAAAAATGTCAACTTCCTGTCCTATTGCATCTTCTCTAATATTTGTGTGTATACTTGTGTCTGTGTGTATATATGTATATATACATATAAGTACATATATGTGTGTATATATATATATATATATATATACACATATATATGTAGTGAAAAAGAGAGAGAAACAGAGTGGTGCATCCTTAGTGTTATTTTTAGCCTCCACAGCTGCACTTATTCCTGGATTTCTTTTCCTAGCACACTGCTCTTGTGTTGTATCACCCACCTGAGTTTGCTTTTACTTATATCTCCTTTTGCCAATATTTTATACATGACATCCTTTGAAAATCATATAATATTAAAGATTTTTGTGTAGTC